CCTCAAAACAAGCAAGTAATACCCACCTCTAGAACCAGAAGGCAATATTCTTCCATTTTTTGGCGTCATCTGGAGTACGAACAGCAAGGCAAATAAAGACTGAACTGGAATTACCTGTGACCACAAGTCCAAAAAATTTTGTCAAAATCAGGACAATTCCAGTGGAAAAAAATGATCACAAAACCACCATTGACTAAAAAACATAAAAGTGCAAGATTTAAGTTTGCCAAAGACCACATGACATGTAAAGCAGAATAAGAACATGTTGTTTTTTTTTTATTAAAAAAGTTTCACTTAGATAAGCCTGATTGTTTTTAGTATAATTAGCATGATTTGAAAAAAAAAAACAGAGCCTCGTTATGAGTTATAACTTTGCAGAGGGGCAGTTATGGTGTGGGCTGTATTTTGTTTCTACAGCAAAGTTCCAATATATTTTATTACATCAGAAATGATACAAAACGATATCAAGATCTTTTAGAGGATGTTTTAATTGAGGTTAGTGAAGGTTTACCTGCTGACAATTGGGTTTTTCAACCAGATAGTTACGGTTTACATAGCACATAGTTTAAATCAGTTTATCAAGAACTTAGTCAATTCATCAAGAACTTAAAACCTCTATCCAACAAGCATGAGCAGTATTTCAAAGGTATGTTTAGAAAATCTTATAAAATGTATGAAAAACCAAATCTTCCTATTAATTAGTGTTAAGGTGGAATTACACATTATTAAAAAAAAATAATTATTAAAAAAAATATTATTTAAATAAAAAAAATATGAAGGTTTACTTTTGATGGAACTATAGAAATATTTTGAAATATTTCTAACTTTTTCTAAATGTCAAAGTTTTTACAAAATAAATTAATTATTTTCTATCAAAATATTATTTGCTTATGTATTCCTAATAATTCCTGCAATAAACAAAAAAAAAATGCAAATACTTTGAGAATTCATTTATATGTACAAATTGTAAGTGAAACTTTCACTAAGAATTTTTTACAATTAAAAACTAATATTGGAGGTTGTAACATTGGCAAAGCATTTGTTTAACGCTTGTAGAAAGACAACCAAGTTGTTCAATTTATAATTCATTGATAAATATTTTTCAATTTTTTTTTGATCAGTAATTTTTCTGACAAAAGGCCACACCGTCTCTAATATTTTCTAATATTTTCTTGAGAAAAGCAAGGTTTTTTTGCTGGAACATCGATCTTTAAATGAAATCGTTTGCACAAACCTCCTTTAATTGTCACAACATTTAATGCAAACCAGTGGGTGTACTTATAGATGAAATTTCAGAAGTAATAGAAAATGAATACATTATTGTATAATAATAAATGCAGCTATCTGTTATCTTTGATCGTCCAATTTGGGTTTTGTTTTTTAAGTCACCTATTTCATAATATTGTTTCAATGTTTTTTGCTATTTATCTTATAGCTATGTTTTATATGTGCAACAATTGCGGTCAGTGTCAATCCTTTTTCGTGCAAAATATCAATCTAAGCTTAACTGTTGTTAAATCAATAGATTTTCCAAAAATAATAATTTAATTTTTCTCTAAAATAACAACAAATTATGACTAAAAAAATTTTAATTGTTTAAAGAATAAATTATGCATATAATTGAAATACTCAAAATTTTAAATGTAAAAAATAATTTTTAAATGAATTTTTATTTTGAAATTTTTTTAGATTAGGCGTTGTGGAAAAAGTTTTGAAAACAAAAAAAGCAAAACCATCAAAATAGGAAATTAAAATAAATTTAAATAAAATAAAAATTGATGATTTATGCACTATTTTTATTTTTGTTTCTTTAGGGTGGTTGTTATTTTCAGCAACAAAATCAGATAAGGCAAAGCAACAAAAAACAGTTTTAAGTTGACATTAAAAAGAATGATTTTCCTATATTTTATTTGTTTTTGTTTTAAAGAGGAAAGTGAAAATATAAGTTGCTATCTGTTTGTAAAATATATTTGTAAATTCAAATAATGTGATAAGCAGGGTTGCATGGTTTTAACCAAATGGTTTAAACCATTGGTTTAAACGATGGTTTAAACCAATTAAAAAAATAATGGTTTAAACCAAACTCATGTTTTTTTAAAAAGATTTGAACTTGCAACAGGAAACTAAAACAGGGTTATGTTCACAAATATAACTTATCTTCAATATAGATATATATTTTTAAATCCCTGATTTTTTTTTTTTTTTTTTTTTAACTTTATCAATATGCTTCATCCAGGATACGCTCTACCTAATAGAACTCAAATTGGAGGAGAAATATTAGGTTTACACAGAAGAAATTGAAAAATGTAATGTATTGAATGGGAAAATTGCAGCCATGTCTTTAGATGGCTGGAGTATTGTACATAATGAACCTATAGTTTGTATCTCTGTAATTACAGATAAAATTAACATTTTAGTAAAAACAATCAAAACTTCTGGTCATTCACGTACTGGTGAATATCTTACACAGTTAGCAAGAGAAGCAATAGATTTTGTAAGACGTAAATTTGGATGCACAGTAAAAAGCTTTGTGACTGACAATGCAGCTAATATGAAATTAATGAGACAAGTATTGTCATCTGAAAGAGATATTATCATAACTTTTGGGTGTGCTGCTCATATTCTGAATCTTTTAGCAAATGATCTGAACATTGAAAATGTGAACAGGCATGTTACACAAATAATAAAATATATAAGAAATAATCATCAAGCTGGAGCAATTTATAAATTAAGCGGAGGAACAAAATTGCCACTTCCTACTGAAATTTGCTGGAATTCTGTATATGATTCATTTGAAAAATGTCAACAACTAGAGCATTATTTTCACAATGTTTGAAAAATATAAAGACTTGGATCCCATGATTAGTAAAAATGTAAGTGATATACAGATAAAGCAAAACACAGAAGATTTATTGAAAATATTGAAACCAATTGCAGTAGCTCTAGATAAGTTGCAAAGAGATCAAACAAAAATAAGTGACTCTTGAAATTTTTAAAGATTTGATAAACAGTTTATCATTTTTATCAAATGAAAAAAAAAAAATTGAATCTAGATACCTTCAGACTGTCAGTGATGGTTGTTTCCTGGTAAACACACTAGATTCTTGATATTTTGGATCTAATCTTTTTGATTAGATCTGATTAGAAAATGACGCTGCCATGAATTTCGCAGATAAAGAGTTCAAGAATTTGTTACCAATATTATTCAAATTAAAAGCCAAATCTATTATAACATAATGGATATTGAAGGTTTATTAAATGCACCAGCTTCTAGTGCTGGAATTGAAAGAATTTTTTCAACTTTTGGTCTTGTTTATTATAAGTTAAGAAACCAATTGGGGGTAGAAAAAGCAGCAAAGCTTGTATTTATATATAGAACATTAAACAATGATATATTGAATAACTTTGATGAAATATAACAATAATATTGATAAAGAATATGGTTTACTCAAATAAAATACCCACTAACCATTTATTTATTGTTTTTCTTTTATGTACCACTGGTCGTATTCTTGCTTTGTAACCATTCATTTTTTCTTTTTCGTAAAAATCATTTTGTTGTATGTCTTTAAAGGATGCACATATTTTCTTTTTCAGGTTTCATATACCATTTAAGCCTCTCAGTTTGTTTTCCAAACAAGGCGGACACACACACACTTAATCTTTTAGTGCTTTGCAATTTTGGATACCTGTTGCTTTTTAACATTTGGTTCTGTGTGCTTAGTTTTATCTATCCCCTCCCTTTTGATCTACTATGTTATTAGTAAAATAAATGTAAACAATTATTAAAAATAATTAACAATTGTTATGCAATTATTAATAATATTTATTAACAATTGTTTGCATACATTTCATTAATAGCATAGTAGACCAAAATATAGGGGGCAGGTAAAAAAAAAATTGATATGTGGTGGGATTCTAACCAGGCCCATTCTGTGTATGAAGTAAATACTTTATCAAAATGTACTATTGTGCTAATGTACTAATGTGCAAACTAAAATGTGCATATACTAATGAACAAATAAACATGACTGTGAAATATATGCATGCATTACATAAATGTATTCATATTGGAACAATATATACTTATTATGTTAAATTTATATAAATATATTTTACTAACAGATAGCAATTTATATTTTCACTTTCCTTTTTTAAAAACAAGTAATTATAGGAAAATCTTTTTTATGTCAACTTAAAACTATTTAAATTTATTTTAATTTCCTATTATGTTAGTTTTGCTTTCTATAAATAAAGAAAGGAATAGGAGTATGTAATTTAAATAAAGAAAAAAGGTATATCTATATCAAAATGTTGTTTTTTGAAACTATCTCTAAAACTTTTGTTAGATTAACAGATGAATTGACAACTAAATGTTTACATTAACATTTACATTAACTTGCGCCATCTTTTAAATTATTAATAAGCAGCAAATAAAAATTTGCTTCTTGTTAATAACTTAAAAGATAGCGTAAGATGAAATTTTCCAAAATTACTATAAAGTTTTTAAATGATTTATACAGTCCCTTTTAAAAGCATAACCACAAAAAGTTTAATTGCACCCAGTCTGTTGATAGTACAACTAATATTTCTTTTCTCTCTAGCCAAATGGTGTAAATTTGTGAAATATTTTTACATATGTGTAAAATTTAATTTCTTTGTATTTTTTGTTTGTTTGTTTTTTCAATTATTTTTTTAATTAAAATTTAAAAAAAACTTTTACCTTATATATGTTTACCAAGGTAATGCAAGCTGAGCAAGAAAAGATAGCAAAAGAAAAAATTGAGAGAGAAAGATTTGAAATAGAAAGTAGAAGATTTGAAAGTGAAAAGATAGAGAGAGAAAGAATAGAGCGAGAAAAGAATGAAAGAGAGAGAAATGAGCGAGAAAGAGATAAGCAAAAATTGGAAAAAAAATTGGAAGATGATGAAAAGAAATTAAAACAAGTTGAAATTACAAAACAAATTGAAGAAATGAGAAACAAAAGATCAGAAAAAAAGGTATAAGTTTTAAATTTTTTTCGTCATTAATTGTGTTGTGCTATGTATGTATTAACACTCATCTTTATCAATCTGAAATTTCGTGCTGTGTAAATTTAATGTTTTATTTCTTGGAATTCATTATTTGTATGCTTATACAAATAATGTTCTCATTAGATTGGTGCTCACATTATTTGTACGCTCATACAAATAATGTTTACATAACAAAAACCTTAACTGTAAGCAAAAAAATCTTTAATTTCTTTTAATTTTTTTCTCAGCGATACAGTAGTGTAGTCCTGTGGGTGTAATAAGTGTCTTATTTTGAGGCACAGATAACAGGCTCGCTGATTCAATTTCTTCTCAGGCTGCTTTTTTTTTTAATTTTTGAGCGTTAAAATTCTTTTAAATTTTTCTAATTTTTTTTCAATTTCAAATTTTGTTCAGATAAATTTCTTTTTAAATTATATTCCGAAAAGCAACTTGCATTTTTATAGAATATATATATATATATATATATATATATATATATATATATATATATATATATATATATATATATATATGTATATGTTTATATATATGCATGAGTATATATATAATATTCAGTTCAATGTTTTAAAGTATCCCACTTAATGCTCTATGTCAGGTCAGTTCAGGATCATTACAATTTGAAATTTTTCTGCATTCGGGATGTGAATTATTGATGCCACATAAGGAGGCCTAAGTTATGACTTGGAGGTTAATTAGCAGGACTGAGGGTTGCACAGCTTCTTGCTTGGGATGTCATGCTCTATCTATGGATGAGTCAAGTTCTCTTTATTTTAAACCATGCCCAAGACATTAAACATAAAAAAATAAACATAAAAAACCATCATCACCACCAATATTTTTTTAACAAATTCAATATATCTTTAACAAATATTTGTTATTTCTAAACTAAGTTTCTATAGTTGAATCTTACTTCTTGCAATTTTTATCTGATTTATTTGTTTTTTGTGTGACTAAATTGAATTTGGCTGGTTTTTCTTTGGATTTCAGTATTGATTGATACAATCCTTTGATTTGCAAAGATGTGACGGATACTATCCTTTCAATTGTAAAAAACTTCACTCAATCAAATTTCTCTTTGTTCTTGATTGTTCTTCTTTTTCTCAAGACATTTAAATTTTTCTCATTCAAATGTAATTCATGATCAAATTAACCAATATCTTTCTGTTTATCCCTATTCTAATTCTGTTGTTGTTGTTGTTATTGCTCTAACACCATTGACCCTGCTGGGACTAAAGCTAATAAATTCTTAATTTCTCAACCCAATCACTTACCTTCACTCCTTGATTTGTCTTGTCTCTGATTTTTAAGTTCATTGATATCTTTTGCACTACTTACTAATACCCATAATGATTAGGATTTTCTTTGTGAAGGTTCTTGGACTAATGTCTTTCTTCTCTCAGCTGATAAGTGAGCCTTCTATTTAATCTCCTGGATCCAGACAGGTATTGAAGCTTTTATTCCTTCTTGTCAGTTTCAAGTCAAGCCTAATTCTACTCCATGATTTTCATCTTCTTTCTCATAATCATTTTTTTCATTTTTTTAAAATGAATTCTTATAGAAACAAACACCTATTTATTATTGTATAAATTTAATGTGAAAAGTGCTGTCTGGTTCTAAGCTCTATTATTCCCAGTTTACTAAATCTCGTATCTTGTCTCAGAAGTTAGTCTCTAGAGATTGAAATGTATGTTTTTTTTCTGATTTGTTCCTTCCTCATTTTAAACCATACATGTGTGACCAGGAACAGCTAATATAATAAGCATAGCTATTTTTTTATTGTTTTTTCTTCAAGGATAAGAAAGTAGTCCCGAAGGACATAAATTGCTCTGCTGTTCCATTTTGCTGAGTAAAAACATAGAAATTTTTTTTGGGTAAAATATGGTTATTCAAGCTTAAAAGCTAACCTGGAAAAACAAGGAATAAAATACAATACACACATTGAGTTAAAAAAGATTTTAATAAAACAAACTGAGAGAAAAAAAGATTTTAATAAAACAAACTGAGAGAAAAAAAGATTTTAATAAAAAAAACTGAGCTTGTAATCATCTTTTTAAGTTTTTAAAGTTGGTTTTTAAATTAAAAAAAAACTTTAAATTGTTTTTAAAGAAAATGTTCATCGATATATTGAATATGCAGTTTTAAAATTTGCATAGTTTAACTGTTTTAATACAATAACTATATTTAATAACTTTAAAATTAAAATGTATATATATTTTTATTTAATATAAAATTATACAAAATAATTTATCCTCAACAGATACAAGACAAATTATATCGACTAAAAAGAAAGGCATTTAATGCAAGACTTTGTATGGTTCTTTTAGTTATAAATGTACAGTATTGGACAAAACATTTGCAACCAACATCGAACAATGCTAAAAAGTGTTTCTAATCCAGGAACACTTTTTAGCATTGTTCTATGTTGGTTGGAGTCATGGCATGCCATGACTCCAGGAGTCTGGAGTCATAGCATGCCATGACACAAGCAATTAGCTGACAGGTGACAACACACAGGCAGAATTTCATTGACAAGTGCCATTTTGCAGCAAACAAAACAAGTGCAACTTTTTTGGTTTGTTTCATTTTCTTAAGTCTGGTTCGTGTCAACGTCATTGAAGTTTTTTAATAATTAAAGAAAGTATCCAATAATTTCCAGAAGTTTCCAGAAACATGCAGAAGCTTCTAGAAGTTTCCAGAAGAAGCATCTGGAAGCATCCAGAAGTATCCAGAAACATTCAGAAGCATCTAGAATCTTCCAGAACAGGTTCACACAGGTTCATTTTACTATATAAGAGACATGTAAACCGACATGTAATTCAGTCAGTATATGGAAGTCAATCAGTCAGTATTATCAAAACAGTTTATCAAAGTGAGTTTTATCAAAATGTTTTATCGAAGAACAGCAATACAATCGAAGAACATCAATACCAGAAGTAAAATACAACAAGTGTTTTATTACATCAATACAGTCCACATCCAACCAAGACTTTGTGTTCCACAGAGCATTATTGTATCATCACAAGGTAAATGTAACACAGTAAGCCTTGAGAAGCGTGATTATTTATTTTTATTATTTTTTATAAATTCAAGTGCAAAAATGGCCTCCGACAGTCTTGGATTGGAACTAAGGAAGAAAATTATTAGCGATTACGTAAGTGGAATGTCACTAAAAAGTATTTGTGATAAATATAGCGTGAAAAAATGGACCGTATCAAGACTATGTTCCAAATATTGTTCTACGGGGAAGTTGGCAGCAGATAACAAAGGTGGAAGACCAAGTTCCACCAGTTCTAGAGAGGATTCTATGATTGTCAGATCCGTCAAGAAGGATCCCTGGATATCATCAGTTGAGATACAAAAGCAATTAGAGCTGCCTGTATCGGACTGAACAATCAGATGACGTGCTGTTGAAGCCAGATTGTTTTCTCGACGCCCTGCAAAGAAACCGCTGATTTAACTATAAAACCAGAAGAAAAGACTCCTGTTTGCTACATCTCATATTGACTGAAATGTGCAGAAATGGTGAACTGTTCTGTTCAGTGATGAATCGAAGTTCAACATCATTGGGAGCGATGGCATTTGCCTATACGTCGACCGGCCAGAAATCACCTTGATTTATGTTACTGCCATAAGACCGTGAAGCATGGTGGAGACAATGTAATGGTCTGGGGGTGTTTTTCTGCTAGTTCTAGGTCCAATCCATCAAATCGATGGAATAATGGACCGTTTCATGTATAAAAATATCTTGAAAGATGTTATGTTACCTCATGCTGAATGGAATATGCCAATAAAATGGGTTTTTCAGCAAAACAATGATCCGAAACACACTGCAAAAGTAGTCAAGCAGTGATTTCAAGACAACCACCTATTGGTAATGGATTGGCCCCCTCAATCTCCGGATCTCAACCCTATCGAGAACCTGTGGGAGATCGTCAACCGCAGAATTAGTAGTAAAGGTGTTCGTAATAAGGATCAACTGTTTGAACAAATCCAAAAGGCCTGGGATTCCACAAAGTTTCATTGATCACCTGATCGAATCTATGCCTCAAAGATGCAAGGCTGTGATCAACAACAAAGGATTCGCCACAAAATATTGATAGCGAAATACAGCTTGGTCAACATTTTGTGGAGTTGCACTTGTTTTGTCCAGACAGAAATCAACTTTTTTTAATACTTTTGATTAATTTATTAATTTTTGTGTACAAATAATGAATTTTGTGATAAATAAAACTTGAAGAACGTTGTCTCTAAACAGTTACATAGTTATTTCTTTAAATTGAAAAAATGAAGCACTTTTATATAAAGAAACTAAATTACCATTATTTGGTTGCACTTGTTTTGTCCGATACTGTATATTCACATATTACCTATTTCTTAGCTTCCTTATAAATTTAAAATCAGCAATTTTTGTTCCGGTGTTTGGCTTCTCTGTAGTGAGTGTAGAGCAATTTTGATAGTACATGAAACATCATTTTCTAAAGTCTGAAACATGAGCATTAATAAGGACTTTATCTGCTAAATAACTCAGACCTTAAAGTCCTATATTCTACCAAAACCATTGTAAGATCTGAAATAGATTTTAGTTATTCATTAAAGCATATGTATCAATATAAGTAATATAATTTTTTATTAACCTGTACTGACAGAGCAGGGGTTACAAATTATAAGAAATATAGAGAGAATTGTATACTAGAGAGATGTCACTCTAATGAATTTGCAATTTTATCCCTAATTCTTTTAAGCCCCAAACTCAAATTAGTTGATAGCTACAAGTACCTAGAAACCTTAATAAACAAATATTTTAAATGGAATGAATAATAGATAAAAGTTCATAAATCTACTAAATCAGTACCCTACTTACTAAAGCGCCTTAAATAGATTGGTCACACTCAATTAGTAGCGTCCTTTCTTTTAAATCCAATATTTTTAGTTTATCAACAGGTTATTTTAAAGAAGTTTTAGAGTTT